CCATTTGGTTTAAATACCATTGGTGGGTTGGGGATTTGGTTTAGGACCAAGGTGTGAATTGAGTTTAGGTTAGTTTTAGGGTCAGCCTACCTGTGAGGTTAGCCTTAGGGTTTGTGGTCAGGGTTAGGCTGTAGAAATGTAATTGAAGTCAATGGAATGTCCCCAAGCCCTGTGATGGACATGCGACACCATAAAGAACTTATGTTAGTCACTCCTCTAAATAATAAAACTATAAATTCTTTGGGTTCCCCTCTGAGTTTGCATTACATCACATAAATTCAACAGGCTTGCATACTCGTTAGGTCCTTAATGCCACCACTAGAGATGTGACATTCACAAACAATCAAGTCACAGGCAGTAAAGAGCCGTTTGTGTTTCTATTTTTTATTGTTCATATAATATAATTCATATAACCTTTACTTTTTTCATCCTTAATCAGAGAGCTAATGGTTAATCAGAGAGATAATAGTGCCTGCTTTGCTTTTTCCACAGAAAACAGGTAGAGTGGTGGAGTATAGCAACTCAGGGGGAAAGTGGGTGGGGGATTTGTGCTTGACAAAACACATGGTTCCATCCACGCCGTGTCAAAATCAAACAGCTCTTTTGAACAGCTCTATGAAACAAATGTCTCCTCAAGCTCTGGATCCCTTCAAAGAGACAAATATCCCATCTCTAAACACCACACACACTGGAGTATTGGGACATTTCAATCCAACATATTGAATATCCCAGATTTGAGGTTGGAGTGGTCCCAACGGCCTTCCAAGGCAACTAGATCACTATTAACACATTAAAGGAGGCAGTAATATCTCCTAAAATTATCTTTAGAACCATCACGATAATCGAAGCATCCTCAACATTGTTGGAAGGGAAAAATAAGGACAAAAATTGGCACATTTATCTTGCCATGTGAACCTGGCGTTTACTTGGACATAAGTAATCAGATTTAAACGGCCATTCGGAATAAAATTACATCATGTAAGCGCCCTATTCGGATTATTCTGACCCTATTCAGCTCGATCCGAATGAATTTGTAATCGGAATGAGAGAGGTGATTTATGCCGATTGATAATCCAAACGACTTGCACGTAAACACGTAATCCGATCATTTTATTCTGATTGTGGAAAACTGACCTGACTGCACGTCTGCTGACTTTCATCCACCGGTTTCTGCTCTTTTGTGGAGAGAGGAGCAGCAGTGCTGTAGTTTCCAGCAGCACAGAACTTTTTCTCCCATTTTCTCATTCAATAAAGAAGGAAGACACATGCCGCTTCACAAAAAATAATGATAAAAAATAAAAAAATGAATAAAAAGTCCACCGCGCGTCCCCTGCAACTGAACCAGGGATTGCGGTAATGTCTCCACCATTATGAAAACCTGTCGCAGGGCCAATCTGAGCTCAGAAGCTGTTTGTTTATGTTCATCATGAAAGTAGATCTTTTGTGTGTGTGTGTTTTTAAGGGAAAGTTAGCAACTGTGCATGCCAGTGCTTCTATTCTGAATAAAAGCCTGGTACATGTAAACACTCGTCATTATCGGATTGTGTCCATATATACGATACATTTCGATTATTTAATCTGAATACATTTCAATCCGATCAAAGAATTTTACGCATGTAAACATTGATGGTTGGAAAAAAAGAAGAAAGTCTTTAATGAAGTTTGTCAGAACATTATGCGTTTAAGACGAGGATGTCATGAGCTGATTGCAAGTATTGAGTATTGGTTTGAGTACCAATCAAGGTATTTTTCGGTATTAAAATAGCTTGGCACTTTCAGATCCTAATAAATACAGTCTATGGTTTTACATCATGTTAGATGAGTTTACTAAAAGCTGTACAGCAGCCATAAAACAGCACCCCATGTGATGTAAGGGCCTAGAAATAAATGCACCTGAGCACCAATTGTTTTCTCTGTCGTTGGACAGTAAAAAATACCACCACAAATCCTCATTGTTCGTCAAACCTTGTGTCAAGTGTCTTGATAATCAATAAATTTATGCTTGAAACAGAGGTGATTGCTCTAAGACTTCAAGGGAAGCTCAGCTTCCCCTAAAATGTAAAAAATAAAATAAGTGATCAAATACACTCACCGGCCACTTTATTAGGTACACCTGTCCAACTGCTCGTTAACACTTAATTTCTAATCAGCCAATCACATGGTGGCAACTCAGTGCATTTAGGCATGTAGACATGGTCAAGACAATCTCCTGCAGTTCAAACCGAGCATCAGTATGGGGAAGAAAGGTGATTTGAGTGCCTTTGAACGTGGCATGGTTGTTGGTGCCAGAAGGGCTGGTCTGAGTATTTCAGAAACTGCTGATTTACTGGGATTTTCACGCACCACCATCTCTAGGGTTTACAGAGAATGGTCCGAAAAAGAAAAAACATCCAGTGAGCGGCAGTCCTGTGGGCGGAAATGCCTTGTTGATGCCAGAGGTCAGAGGAGAATGGGCAGACTGGTTCGAGCTGATAGAAAGGCAACAGTGACTCAAATAACCACCCGTTACAACCAAGGTAGGCAGAAGAACATCTCTGAACGCACAGTACGTCGAACTTTGAGGCAGATGGGCTTCAGCAGCAGAAGACCACACCGGGTGCCACTCCTTTCAGCTAAGAACAGGAAACTGAGGCTACAATTTGCACAAGCTCATCGAAATTGGACAAGAGAAGATTGGAAAGACGTTGCCTGGTCTGATGAGTCTCGATTTCTGCTGCGACATTCGGATGGTAGGGTAAGAATTTGGCGTCAACAACATGAAAGCATGGATCCATCCTGCCTTGTATCAARGGTTCAGGCTGGTGGTGGTGGTGTCATGGTGTGGGGAATCTTTTCTTGGCACTCTTTGGGCCCCTTGGTACCAATTGAGCATCGTTGCAACGCCACAGCCTACCTGAGTATTGTTGCTGACCATGTCCATCCCTTTATGACCACAATGTACCCAACATCTGATGGCTACTTTCAGCAGGATAATGCGCCATGTGGAGATGAAGTCTGAGATGATTCCAGCTGGAATCATCTCAGACTGGTTTCTTGAACATGACAATGAGTTCACTGTACTCAAATGGCCTCCACAGTCACCAGATCTCAATCCAATAGAGCATCTTTGGGATGTGGTGGAACGGGAGATTCGCATCATGGATGTGCAGCCGACAAATCTGCGGCAACTGTGTGATGCCATCATGTCAATATGGACCAAAATCTCTGAGGAATGCTTCCAGCACCTTGTTGAATCTATGCCACAAAGAATTGAGGCAGTTCTGAAGGCAAAAGGGGGTCCAACCCTTACTAGTGTGGTGTACCTAATAAAGTGGCCGGTGAGTGTGTATACTGTTGTGTGTACATGTCATTGGCTAAATATGCGCTACAACGCACTCAACTTACTGCAGCTTCACAGTGCTTTAAACAGTGACGCTGAGCATCCACAGAGTTCAATTGCGAAGAAAGAGTGCAGCGAAACAAGACGAAATGAGACGAAACGAGACGACTCATTAGATAAATGCTGGGCTTTGTCCCGCCCTTCGGAGGCTCAGCATCTCTGGGGTCTATGGGGATGTGGGCTGGCCTCGGCTGGACCAGACACTCAACTCCTGCATGATGATTGGATGATCTGTCGGAAGCTGAATCCCTTTTTGATTGACAGCGAAATGAGCAAATTAGCGATCTTTTGACGTCCATTGGAGCATTTTTTAGTTTCATTCTGTTCTGAGTTGAATCGGAGACTTTCCTAATCTTCTAAGTGGCATTTTCTTTCTTAAAAATGATTAGTGACAAATCGAGCTTCTATTTCTGGTGGGTTTTTTGTATCTGCTTGTGTTTGTTGACTGACTTCTATCACTCTTTCTGACTTCTATCATAGTTTCTGTCCAGCAAAGCACTCACAGGCAGACTCTAGTCTCACGCCAGTCCCAGCTAGCGAGCAAGCTGCACATAATGGCAGACAGTTTGAATGTTGTGGACCAGATTTTGGTGAAGCCATTTGATATAGTCTTCCTTATGAAGAAAAATTTAGAGTTAAACAGCAGGGCTGATCAACTCCTCAGATTAATTTGGTGCAAAAGGTGGGGAAAGTAACGAGTCTTTTCAGCTGTCCTGGTATGACTGGCTGACTGGAAGTGCAGTAAAATGATTTGTGACAGGGTCACAGATCATTTTCTTGGAAAGGAACAGAGGGTAGAATTTACGTAGAAATAAACTGACACATTTTATGATGTAGGCCGAAATTGAGCTTCCCCTTTTAGAAAGACCGCTGCTGGCTTGAAACTAAGATTGGCATGTTCTTTTTGCTGTTTTCATGATGTTTGTTGGTTGAAGTGGAACATAAAACCTGAACAACAATGTGATGCTTGGATTCCTGTGACCAGTGTAGTTTAGGGTTGGGGAAAATCATATTGTGCACAATTCATCAATAAAACTGTCAGTGATTAATATTTTCAACTTTACACTTACTTTAACTTTTGCATGACTTGGGCTTGGGAAATGTAAGAGAAAACACAGCTGTGAAATTTTAGCTTCCTAAGATTTTACTCAGTTTGTAGAGTTGAGTTACTTTTACAACCGCTAATTAGACAGATGGGCCCAGATAGAGGATGTGCAAGTAATGCCTCACTAGAACAGGAGGTTGCACGTGGACATACTCAGTTACTTTGTAGAAAAGCCTTTAAAAAGCTTGACTGTTTTACAGAGAGTCAGTTCATGATGCTGATGTTGATTATACCTTGTCTGTATATGAACTCCTTGATGCAAGTAAAACAGAGTTCAACCAGACTGTTGCTTGTTCGTCAATCCTTGTGTCAAGTGTCTTAATCAATTCATCCAACAACTGTGAACTGATTTAATCACCTGTAACACCAATGTCAAACGAGATTACACAAGATCTAGAGCAAAGCCACAGCATTGGTTACAGAAAACTCAGGAAGGGGATAACCACAGTCTTTTATTGTGTTTCCACCCTTATGGTGGAAAAGGTGGCTTTCAAAACACAGCTTAATATTTGAACTTGTTATCTGCTAGTTTGACGATTTTTATGTACAATTTTAGAACACAGGATAACTGATATAGAGTCAAAAACATGCAAATGTGATTGCCATGTATTAATCATCACATTATCGGCTAAATGCCACAATTAATCTTTTTTTGCCAATATCGCCAAACTTGAAAATTGAATTTAAATTGAATAAACATTGGAATGAATTTCCATATGTTCCATTTGCTGTATGTTTGGTCCCAACTTTGGGTGGAGATGTGAAAACCCAAAACAACACAGACTTTGAAAATAAGGTTAATTAAACTAATTATAACCTTATTTTCAAAGTCTGTGTTGCAGTCAGAGAGACAGAGTGGTTAGCAGCAGCTGTATGTCCAATCAAACCTTGTGCAGTGATGTGCGCTCCATAAGCTGGAATGGGGCGGGGTCTATCTTGCAGGAGCTGAAGTCGACTTGCTCCTCAAGCTGCTTCTCCTCCCATTCTGCTATCTGGAAATCAAACAGATCAGTAATTTTCAGTGTAATTTTGTTTAATTAAAATGTAAAATCAGACTGCAGCATAATTTGTTAGAGTCAAAGGCCTTACAGCCAGTCTGTTGGCTGAACTTTGTTTGTTTCTGTGACTGTAAAACTTCAATAGACAGGACGTCAAACAGAAACTGATTACATAATGTCTTTATGAGTAGTGTCAGTCAGTAAATGAGAAGACAAAGGCATGAAATATTTCAAACTACCATCTACCAAATGACGTTTGTCCACAGAAAATAAATGGACCAGGCAGAGCTCTGAATGATGTCAAGTGAAACTTGAAGTAACACAGCTGGTGAAAAAAGCAGGAGGATGGAGAAGCAGAGACTGCAGGAAAACATGGTGATGGAAGGAGAATGTATGAGGAATGTGCCTTAGACAGACAGGAAATGAGAGGTGATGTTGATGGATGAATTATGAATGATGTCATATCCAAAAATATAAGACTCCTGGGTAACTGACCTATTCAGTTGTAAAAACTGAACAGCCTGGTCTGTCAGACTGGGATGTCATCAGGTGCAAAATGAGATGTCAGTTATACAAATTCATGTTTCAAAAACTTAACGGATTTTACTAACAGTTTAAAGGAAAAAATAAAACAAAATAACAAAAAAAAAAACCCATCAGATTTTGTCCTCCACCAGTAAAGAAAAAATATTTAACTGTTTAAAAAAATAATAAAATAATAACTGTTATTGCCATTGTTCATCTCCCAATAATATATAAAACATTTCTTTTTCTTTAATCATACTCAGCATTTTTAAAACATAGCATCATGTTTTAAGTTAAGTATGCTTATTCTGGTCACTTGTTCTCCACCTTTAAATATCCATTTTTCCCTATTTTCCCAAGTTCTTCTAAAGTTCACCAAATGTCATGAAAAAAATGTTATGCTTAAATGTTGCTCTGAGACCCAAAAGCTTTTCTGAAAAACTAAAGTTCAGAAATAACGATGAGCTTTTTATCCCCTTAAACATTGTTCATACCAGGTGCTAAAATCTGTTCTTCGCGATCGAATTGCAAACAGATGATGCTAAATTACAGATCTAAATGACTTCAATGCATGACAAAAACATTCACTTAGACCAGTGATTCCCAACTAGGGGTACGTTTACCTATTGGGTACGTGAGCATATTACCCCAATTTTTCTATGTACAGAGGGTACATAGAAAAATTTCCCAGGTCTGTAAAATATATACTGTATATAAAAATAAGACTGAGGTATGTAGGTCCCTGTGATTTCCACAATGCGGAAACTGCAGACGGAATCACAGAATGGACACAAAGCGGAATCCTGGATAAAATATGAAATCTCAGAATTTGCTCATTTGGGCAAGTTTCTGATGTATTTTGGACACGGCTTCTTCCTTCACCTGCAATTACCTGGTTTATTTATTTAATTACTTATTCACTTTCAAGGCAACATTTTTATCTTTATTTAATTTGAGTTGAAAAGAATAAAATGCCTGAGAAGTAAATGTTCTAGGGGGTTAAATAAATAATTTCCATTTAATTATCAGTTGTTGTGAATTACAGCTTTGGAGAATCATAATATTTGACTGAAGAGGTACTAGTGGTATGACAAAATAGCTCAGGGGTACTCAAATCTGAAATGGTTGGGAACCACTGACTTAGACCACCTTAGGAGCCTCACTGTAGAACTTGCAACTAAACTGATGTGAATCCAAGCAAGCAGCAGAGAGATTACCTGCACAGACTCAAAATGCTGGTGGCAAACTGGATGTGGTTCTGATGAGAATCACAGTTCAGCAGTGTGCCCGTGAGAAGTGAGGCTATACCTGGGTGAAGTTTCATATGGTAAGAGGTGAGGAGGTGACTGAATCTATAATATTGGCATTTTTCGCAACACAAAGGCGCAACTAAGACTCAAAGCAGTGAAATCAGGCTGCTTGCCCTAAACAATTACGTATGTTTATCACTGGATCCCGGCAGCTTGACCTTGGTCGCAAGCTGACCAAACCTCCCTGGAATGAAACGTGAGAAGGAAACCTTGACACTCCCCATCCTCACCCGCGTCACCCATGACCGGACCGGTCTGAAGCCCGCATTGGGTGGAGACAGACAACTGAACTCTAGTAACTTGTGCTTTGACTGGTTTGGACTCTGGAGGTCTTCTGATTAGTTCCAACACCGGAATACTATCCTGAATAGACCCACCACCCCCCTCCTCTCCTTGGATGACTTGCTCTATGTGGAGTAGTTTTCTTTGAGCGTATGTTTGTGTGTTTCTGTATAAAACACAGGATCAAAGCTCTTTTTTTAACGCACACTTCCTATTGCGTGTATTCTAAACTGCAACGGTAGAGCACTAAGTTGCGAAAGACCCTGGACATTCGTTCCCCCATGTTTGTCATGCATGTGTGTTTCTCCGGACGGATGATCTAAATTGCAAATTTCGTTCTGCACGTTCAGAACGTTTCGTTCTTGATGTTATGTGTAAACGACAATAAAACGATTCTGATTCTGGATGTCTCAGGTTTATATATATGACACAGCAGGTAAAATAAGTATTGAACACGTCACCATTTTTCTCAGTAAATATATTACTAGAGGTGCTAATGACATGAAATTTTCACCAGATGTTGGTAACAACCCAAGTGATCCATACATACAAAGAAATAAAAAAAAATGTCCAGAAATGAAGTTATTTGTAATAATGTGGAATGGCACAGGGAAAAAGTATTGAACACATGAAGAAAGGGAGGTGTAAAAAGG